TTAATGGTCAACTTGAGTATACAGATAATCTAATAATATAACTGGACTTTGTATAACTTTACCCTAGTCAGTTGGACTTGGCCTTTCTCACACTATGAATCTATGATTGTCAGTTTTGAGCCTAAGCTCTGAAGTTTGTGATACATCTTAATTAGTAGTTTTTTGGTAAACAAGTTACTAAATCATAGAGAAAGAATTTATCTATGATCCAATCAGAAACTCTAAAAGTATGGGGTGACTTACTTCAGACACACCCACATTACCTAAAGTATAATAGGCAAACACCCCCATATCACTGAGTCAGTAACCAGTAACCAGTAGTCAGTGATCAGTAGTTAGTAGTGAGTAGTCATGTAGTAATCAGTAGTCAGTAGTTAGATTCAACACAGAAGAAAAGTACAGAGCTGAGCTGACTCCACTCTAAAAGGGTTCTCTAACATCTGAAACCTGGAGTTTAGCTGATTGTAACTATGTACAGTTTGTGTTAATAAAAGGTTTGCAGTGAACTAAAAAGGAACTGTGTCATACTACTCATTAAAGTCAACAACAACTAACCGATATCCAACACTATATCAATTGAAACATCGGCACGCACGTTTTAGTTTTGATTAATCAAGTTTGTTAAACTATATTGTTCACGTTTTTGAATAACCTCAGGTGATCATACATCATGAATAGGTTTTAGATTTACTTCACTGCAAGTATATCGATTGTTCTATTGTTGTCAATATTATACTTAATCAGAGATTCATGAAGTTACTAATAAACGATACAATATCTAAGAGTTGACTATGTTTTGTTCTCAATATCCTTGAATATGTGTTTTAATATTTTATCGATATTATTTATGCTCTTTACAATGCCTTATCTGTTTTAACAATTTTTCTTGTGTAAAGTGCCTTTCACATCTATTCAGGTTCCAGTTCAGGTTCCGTTTTCAGTTCTGGTTCTTCGTCCGGTTTTTGTCGATTCTGTTCAAATCTACTGCGTTTTCCGTTCCGGTTAACTGGCATCACGCAGGTCAGGCACGCAGTACGAGGAACTTGCGTCGCGAGTTGCATTGTATTGTTTATGTTTGGAAAATAATTTTATTATTGTAGATACTATGTACATGTTTTAATTATTGTTATTTATTCATTAACATTATTATATTACATTTAAATGTAATGTATTGTTTAATTATGAATTACTATGTCCATGTTAAATTAATCTTATCTATTAAAACCGTATATTTATATAATATAGTAGGCTTAATAACATAGCCAAGTTCTAGCATAGGCTAGGCTTAAACAAGTTTTGAATCCGGTTAAAAAAAATCGCTCCAGGACCGATTTGATCCGGTTGCCGGATGCCGGACCCGGCCACCGGATAGGAATAGATGTGAAGAATACAAGTCCGATTTCTTAACCGTGAAATATCATATATACCATTAAAAGCAAATAAAATAAACATTAAATAAGCACTCTAATCTAGTCTCTTTGCATGTACAGCTTAATTAGAAGGTTTTTCTTTTCCCCCTTTTTTCTAATTTACGATCAAAACAAGATTTTTTTTTTCGAATATGGAAAAACACGAAGCTATTTATGCAGATAATATTAAACACTAGAATAACTGGTCATAATAATACACAAAATGAATACATTTTTTTTGGTATAAATTGCGCACCTTTGAGTTTGTAAGTAAAAATGTTTGCCTAATATGTTTACACGTGTATTGTTTTCAAATTAAATTGAGCCTCTGACAACCGTTTGCATCCATTAAGTCAAACAGAAATACGAAATGTACATGCAATTGCCTTTTTTACTCGGTTTTGGTCCGGAAAATACGCCCCGCACGGGGAACAGCTAAGCACCAATGAAGAGACAAAATCCAAGACATTCGTAATTGTTGTTTTTCTTTCCACTCGCTTTGAAAAATGGGGTTTTAATTATAGATGATTGATGAAAATTGGCGGAAGGGGGAGGAATTGATACGATGTCCCCCAACTTTGAAATTCGGGAAAGGGGTTTACCCTTGTCCCCACCGATTGCCGCCTATGCACGATTCACTCTGCAGGGCCATAGTAAAGAAGACTGACTTACATTTCATATTCTAAATTTCTTTTACATTGTCAATGAGTACAGGGATAATTTGTTATATTTGTTTGAGATGGGAATCAGGGCATATTCCGACCTACCCCTGTGATTCGGATATTTGCGAGATGGTGAGAAAAAAAGCTTGTATTCGGCACTCCGGGCTTCATCTTATCTTAGGGCCCGGCAATTATCTCCCACTGGGGCCCTTCACCACCCTACGACGCTGCGCCTGCTGAAAAAAGATATTCAATCGCACTTGAATTATCGAGAAAATACGTGCGTGTTCTTGTGAGAATGCCATTCGTGTGATACGAAGGTCCAGTTATTCAGCTGAATGACCTTCAAATAGAAAATAATTTGACAATTATGGTCTCGGTGACACCACTCCAAATTCTAAAGGGTAAAATGGCCTCGGTGACACCACCCCAAACTCTAAAGGGTAAAGAAGTTCGCGTCCAGGTGTTGTTCAGAAGAAGTTCGAGTATTCTGTAAAAGCACCAATTCAGTGATAAGGATCAGAAGTTCGTCGCAATGGAAATACCGATGGTGGTGTGCCTTACCGCATCTTAATTTAGAGAATGTTGCACACTGCAACGATGCCAACCATCGTACTGATCAAAAATCAAAGCGTTATTATAACATCCGTGAACGTTGTAAAGCATGTTGTTAGGTTTTGGCAAAAATAGAAAATAAGGTTACAAATGTTTTCAGTAGCGTCTGCAACGTTATTCAGTCATACATTAGGTTATAAATACGTATTAATTGTTTTATTATAAAGTGCAGCGTTATTCAAACGTAAAATTGTTAGCTGGATTAATGGTTTCGAACACATTCAGGGTTTTACTTATCTAAGAACAATTATTGACATGTGTTGGTTTATCCAGACAGACGTATCGAAGTAAAGTAAAGTATTTATTTATTAACGTCTCATCCTCACACAGACCAGCCATATCTGGCTTATGAGAGACAAAATATAATAGTACAATTAAAAAGTAAAGTACAGGGTGTAAACAGCAAATATATAATACTGTAGTGCTAATTAAGGTTAAATAAACACCATTTACGTTTTTCCAAAATCAAGCAAATTTAGCAACATGAAAACAAATAGATTTAAATGTAAAATGCATATGTCTACGAAAAGTGAATTATAATTTGAGGGAAATCACTAGGCTTAGCTAGTAATAGTGAAGACAGTATTGTATTACCGATGAACTGTTATACAATATAAATTTTTTCTCCCCAAATGTCATATTTGCTAGCCCACTACTCCGACAACTGCACTGGAGAGAGAATTATTTTTTCCATTACATTTTGTTTATTAATCACCGAAACAGTCGCTCTGCTGTTCTGAGTTTTTTTTTCTTGTGTTCGAAATATTTCAAAAACGGCTGCACATACATAATTGAAAATAACAGGGATTGTTAGGTAACTCAATGAAGAAATGATACAATTTTGGTAACTGTTCGGAGTAGGGTGTGGATATGAGGGCCATTTAAAAGAATTTGTCCTAGACATATCCCAAAAGCTAATCAACTAATGTTAATAAAACTTTCGTGAAGGTTTAACCAAGTTACAAGGAAGAAATTATCAAGCGTTGGTCACGATCCCGATTCTGGGGTGAACTTGGGAGTCATTTAACTTGTTAAGGTTGTTCGTGTTTCTTGTGTTCAAAATATCTCAAAAAACACCTGCACAGATCTTAAATGGAAGTTATCAGCGATTGCCAGGTATGCACCAAGGATGAGGTGATTAAATTTTGGTCGCCATCCGGAGTAGGGTGTGAATATGAGGACCATTCAAAGAAAAACTTCCCAACCTAGATATTGCAAAAAAATAATAAACATATCTAAATGAAACTTTCGTGAAAGTTTAAGCAATATACAAGGAAGAAATGATGAAGTGTTGATGACGATCCAAATTTGGGTGTGCATTTGAGGGTCATTTAAATTCTTAGGGTCCGACACCTAAATATCTCTAAAAACAATCAATGCCTCTAAATGACACTACCCAGAATAGTATAAGAGACAGCAGTTGCACCGATCTAAATGCCAGTCACAAGGATGAGGTGATTAAATTAAACCACCTATTAAGAACCATTGGTTTTTAATAGGCTGCCTGCGGACAAAATTTGGCCACTTAAGACAGTGATAAGTTCGCATTTTTGGAAGGGCGTGCGCCACCGCCTCCCGCCCACCCCTAGATACGACACTGTCAAAAATTGGTATTGTATGTTTTAGCTATACCTCAAATTTCCGAGGAAGATTTGTTAATTGAGTAGACTCAAAATCTAGGTGGTTTTAGGTTACTCAATATGCACTTGCCACCTACAAATTTTCCACTAGGACATTTTTTTCCATTCGAGGATTTTTTCTCCTCCCGGCTGTTTTCCTCCGACTATTTTTACGATATATTTTACTTAGTTTTCCCACTGACTTTTTTCATTAGTATATAAACTGTTTCTTAGTAAAGTAACATCATACAAATATACTATAATTATGTGTATAGCCTTTATTGTTATTCTTGTTCAATAATGCAAGTTATAAGAAAGGGGAAAAAACACAACCAAGAAGCACCGGCTTCAAAAATATACAGCTAAAAAAGATAGGCTTGTATTACGCTGGCGTTAAAAACTAATCGTTTTATCTGATTTTTATGGTCCCAAATGAAGTAGTCACCGAATGCTAAGGTCGTCGAAGTGCATGGTCGCCACCGAATGAAAAAATTCCCGCTGCATGCTAAATGCTGCTAAATGCAATTGGTCGCAGAATGGTGAATGAGTAGCAGAGTGCTAGCTATACTTGCCGACGAAGGCACTGTAGGCGTTCCATACACGTGTTCCAAAGGTGGGCTTTACTTATTGTTAAGGCTTGTTTAAGTAATGGTAATACGGTACAATATCCACATAAAATGCGTTTCGATAAATCAGTTAAAACGGAGGACACAAAATATGACGAGGATTCCTCTCCAAGTGGTTGATATTAAGATTATTGAGAAGCGTTACTTGAGAAATAGTCTATAGACTAACATTTTGTTTCTGATATGACGGAGCCGGTAGAAAAGAGGTAAGGAGTACACTGTACTCTTAGGATTTATGTGCGATTTTCAATATCTGTATTAACGGCAGCCATATTAATAATAATACCATTACCGTACCGTACTATTATATAGCAACGCAACAATCCCAAAGAGGTAAAATAGCGTTTTTACTGAACATTTGCAAACCTGCTCTGATTTACTTTTATTATTGAAATTAAATTGATTGTTGTAAAATATGAAGGACGTTCGCAACCTTAAGAAAAACGATAACGAATAGGCCCCTATATCATTAACATTATCGTCATTCGTGCCTAAAACTTTCTTAACAATATCATCTTATATAACGTAGCGGCGAATGTGGAAAAGTGCATTTTTTGAGAAAAACCCATCTAAAGATTTTTGAAAATAGTAATTTTTTATTAGCATACCTTCTTGTTTTATGAAATTGTCTAAATTTATCTATCACTATAGTGCATTACGTCCTTATACTGTGTAAATATGAGCATAATAACGATTGGTTAATTAGCAATCCATCATTAAACATTTAAAAAAAAATTAACGTATAAATTGCAGTAATTTTACATTCGCCACTTTGTGAAGAAAAATAAATCAAACCAACTAACATTCGCCACTGGAAATTCAAGCCAGTAGGCAGGATTTTTTATGTGAAGGGTTGGGTGCGAACTGATATTGGGTGCTAATGTATACCTTATAACTGCACCCTTACTTCTACTTAAGTCGTTACTATATTCATGCTATTCTATCTTGTACACCCAATAGAAAGCTTAATATTTGAAAACAAGAATGTTTGACCATCAATATAACGCGGATCAAGAAATTGATAATATCGGGAATATCTTATACTTTATTTTCTTCCTCCCGGGCCTATACAGTACAACTTTTGTAGTTTTAATTACATATCAGTTGATTTCTTATCATAAATGATTTATTTTTTGCATTGCAAAATATTGTTAAAAATTAATTGTAATTCAACTTTAACTCATTCTTAGCTCAATTAAAATAAAATTATAAAGAATCTATATCATCATTGTACGAAAACATACCAAAAACCCTATTAAGGGAACAATTTTACGTTTTTGGTTAGTGTCCCCTGAATAGGAATACCCCTATAGGGACACCCCTATTAAAGGCGACAATTAATTTTTTTTTGGTCTCAAAGGCATCCCCTTAATAGGGGTTCTACTGTACGCTCATTATCTATGCTTGCACCGAAGATACTAAAAATACAAGATAGAGCACTCGCATAGTAAAAATGAGGGTTAATTGGGCCCGACGTAGGCGGCGCCCTTCTTTTTTTTTATAACGTAGAGCTCGTATTTAGAACTCTATTATTATTTATAATGCAAGTTTTCTATGAGTCTGGCCCGACGTAGAGGGCGCCC